AACTAGAGAGTCATCACCATAAATAATGAATTACACCAAGAATCAGTAAAGCAAGCAATAGTGCAGAGGGCTCCATTATCTCCCCTGGTTCATAACTAGACATTGTGATTAATCCATTAAACTGCTATCTAGGTGAACACCCCATAGCAAGAGTCAGGAATTACTGACTATTGAATAGCTACACGAATTAACAGAAGGTACCCATGCTTTCAGTGGCCACAGCACATTGATTCCCAGAATCTTTACTCATTTTGAGTTTTAAAGGTTCACAATAACCTAAGTACAGCAGAGGTGTGGAGGATAGAAATCCAAATTTTCAGAAAGCTATGAATGACTAAAACCTAGAAGGCTCAAGAGCTTATTCACAATTACATGAATCAATTCAGTCAACATTTATTAACATGTATTATTTACTGTGTGTCAGACAGAGTGCTAAGAACAGAAAATACCAAAAAAAAAATAGTTCATTATTTAACTGGAGAAATAGACATATAAAAAGCCAATTATCCTGCAATGGGAAAAGTAAGTGATGGGCATTAGAAACATATAAGAAGGAGCAGTCACTCTCCTTGGGAAGAGAGGATAAGTGGCAGATCTGGAAGGCCACCCAGAAGAAGGGACATTTGAGTTGGGTCTTGCAGATTGAGGAAGATTTTTTCCAGAAAGAAGACAGGGAAAAGAGCAGCACAGTCAGAGGGAAGAGTGTGGCATAAAAACATTCAGGTACGAAGTCAGTGATCTTTTCGGAGAATTGCATGGGGCAGATATAAAGGGCCTTGTATGATATTGCAGGGAAATTGGGCTTTATCCAGTATCCTGTAGTCAATAGGGCAATATCCCAAGTTTTTAGAGATGTCCGATCATGAGCAGATTTGTGCTTCTGAAAGCCAGTCAAGTGTGGTAGTGATGATGAGGCTGGAATGGAGAGGAGGACCAGGGTTCAGAAGCTAGAGCTGCAGTGAGGGCAGAGGTGAGATGGCTGGCCTCAGGCCCTGGAGTGGGCTGGAAGGGAGAGTGGGACCGGAAGCTCTCAGACATTTCAGAAGCCACATGAAGAGTTTTGTGATGATACCTGGGGAGCAGGGGAGAAGAAGAGGCTGACTGAGGTGGGGTAGGGGTAATGTCCTTAGCTGAGGAAGAGAAGCATATCTGGAAAAAGCATACATAGAACTAACACCATTGTATGTTTGCCGTGTGCCAGGGGCTGTCCTGGCATTTCTAATACCCCAAATAGTCAAAGAAGGGGACTGAGGTCAAAGTGGTTAAAGAGTGCACCAGGGCCATCTAGTGCCAACTGTGCCCACCAAGCCTGTGACCTTGATGTCCCCACACCCTGGCCCGATAGTTCGCTTTGTGGAAGGGAGCTTTGGTCACAATAAAAGTACTTTTATTCCTCACTTTCTCCATCCTGCCCAACGGTTGGAATATCTTTCCCTATCTTTACCTTGTGAAAGAACACCTCCTCCACCCTCCTGCCTACCCCAGCATTGCATCGCTCCCTTCCAAAGTATTCCTCTCCTCCCACTCCTCATCTACTCCCATTCACACATGGCATCTTTTTAGAAATAGCAAGGGTAGGGCAAAGAGCAATGAATCAGAATGGGGGTAATCTGTGTTCCAAGGCAGACTTAACCCATCAGATGACTTTCAGACATTGCTTGACCTCAGCCCCAGCCTCGGCCTTGGGGTAGGACAAATACAAAGTGACAATAAGAAATGAATATTAACCTTTTCTTACCTCACAGGATTATCGTGAGGATGAAATGAGATACAGAGCTTAAAAACAACATCAACAGAAGGCTGGAAAAGGTGGCTACAGGATTATCCAGCACAATTGCCCACCACACTATGAGCCCCTTGAGGGCAGGGACCAGTTGGTCCCCCTGTTTGGATCTTGGCTACCTAGTTATTCCAGGTACAGAGTCAGTGTTTGATAAAGACAGGCAGAATTAAGAACAAGGACATTACCGCCATCACCACCACCTACCCACACATACACAGAGGTGGGCTCTCACCTCTCTCCCACCATAGATGCAGGCAAACCCACAATACCCCACTTTTGAAAGTACTGCTCTAGTCCTGGCTTATTCCAAAAACAGCCAGTTCCTGGAGGAAAACCAAGTGATTGTCACGCTGCCTGGATGCCTCCACTGGGCACGTTTGACCAAGTCTGGGTTCCACCCCTTCTTAAAGGAAGTTGCTAAGAACCCAACCCCCTACCAGACTCACTCTCCTCCAAGGATATCCAGCTGGGTTTGTTCCCCACCTCCCTTTTGTGCCGTGCCTAGGTTTTTTTGCTTGCAGGAGCTGGGCCGCCTCTACTGCTGTTTTCATTGATGCCTTGAGCAGAGCTGGCATGTGCAACCGCTGAGAAGGGGGAGCGCGGAGCGGCGGGGGAAGCAAGTAAAAATAGCCTGGCGCTCGTCGCTCTGCCTGCTCCGGACGCCTTTAACCCTCGCAGAGACTGGGAGCCCAGCAGCCGCCACTGCACACTGCGGAACCTGGCAGGGGTCTGCATCAGACCCTGCACAATGGCCGGGTACAGTTGAAAGGGACGCACATAAACTTTTATTTATTAAAAAAAGAAACAAGCCAGGCTTGGGGGTAGGTGGATGTTGGAGGAAGCGCCTTGTGGCTTCCAGGGCTCCAGCCACCTGGCTGCAGCGACTGCTGTGTGCCGCTTGCCCAACACTTTGCACAGCCCGGCCTTGAGACTCTGAGCTATTTTTAGACCCTTTTCCACTGGTGGGTGATCTGAGGGTGGAGGGCGAGGGGATGGGAAGGCTGGCTCTCTGCTGGGAGGCTAGCTGCCTTGCACTACACATCATGGAACGTCTGCTCTCTGGTGGGGGTGGGGAAGAGGAAGTGGTAGGGGACGTTGGTTCTGGCTTTGCCCTAACTCAAGGAGACAGCATTAGCTACTGAATGCCCCAGTGCTTTCAAGTCCCAGAGCGTGTTTCTTTCAAATAGACAGTTGCCAGATGCATGCTGCTTCTAGTCTCTCAGAGAATGGAGATTCTTAAAGCTTTGCTGCGAACGCTGTGGAGTAGGGTTAGCTGCAGAGTTAAGACCTCCAGGGAAGAAGATCGGGAGGGGTCTCTGCACCTTCTTGCATTCTGGCAAGACAGAGGGACAATCCCGAGCCACACCCCCATCCCCGCCCCCCCCCTGCATATGGGTAACCATATGTGAACTGTACGGCAGCCCCACCAGACACCCCGCTATTAATAGAGCCCGGGAGTTTGCTCTATGTCTTTTTCCTGCCACCGAGTAAGGGACGATCTTCACACATACACCCCATTCCGCCCCCACCTCGTTGCACCGTTTCTCCGAGAAGGTAAGGGGGCTGCCCACGCCGATCCCCTTCGTGACTACAGGTGCCCAGAGCCTACGGAACAGTCCACTTGTAATGACAGCAGGGTCAGTAGGAGGCGAGGAAACACAGCCTCGAGTCTCGCAACACCAAGCCCAGCAGGGCTGTCTGAGGCTCAGGGCAGCTAGAGAGTACGGAAAGGGCAGCAGTTGGGCTGCCGAAGGCGGAGGAGCAAGAGCACAGTCTGCGGAGCCCGAGCGACCTCCTCTCCTTCTGCGGGACAGGTGGCTGCAGACCCGTTTCTCCGCAGCCGGCGGCGCGCTCCCCCGCCACCCGCGCAGGCTCGGCTGCGGCAGGCGCGGGCGCTGTCCCTGGTGCTGAAAGTGGCCGCGGGCCGCGCGCCCTCCGCAGGTTTAGCGACCCCGAGGAGGCTCTAGATCTGAAGATCGCAGACTTCCCCGGGCCCGGAGCTGGGTCAGGGGGTCTTTTGGAGGTGCCCAGATCCTGCCACCGGCTCGGCCCTCACGGCCAGGAGCTCTCCGGGCTGCCGCGGGGACCGAGGGCTCGGGCTGCCTCGAGCTTGAAGGGTAAAGCTGGGGCGGCAGCAGGAGATGGCCAGGGCGCTGCAGGGAGCAGACCTGGCCCCAGGATCACCCACCCGGCTCCGCACAAAGCCTGGACCCGCGATCACCCACCCGGCTCCGCACAGAGCCCTAACGGAGCCCCCGAAGGAGAGGGCAGAGGCGCGCGGCTGCCAGGGGTTGGGACTTGGGGGATGGAGAAGGGAACAGCGGGTGGCAGGAGAGGGTGGTGGGGGTGAGACAGACTCTTTTGCATTTTCAAGAAGGAGGGGACCTGAGACATGAACTTCCCCCCCAACCACCACCACCGCCACGTACACACATACAGACACACACACACTCGGCCGGCTGGAGGGAGCGGGATGGAGCTGGGGAAAGTTTGGCACGGCGCTGAGCGGCAGCAGCGGCGGCGACGGCGGCGGCGCGGGGTCCGGGCGGGTGGCGGGCGCGGGGGCCCGGGCTGTCGCCGGCTTACCTCGGTGCTCTCCGCGGCGTTCTCCGCCATTTTCCTCCGTAGGAGCAGGCAGCGGGAGGAGTGTTTCATGCCCATAAGAGCCAGCAAGGGTTTGGTGACAGAGATAGTGGAGAAAGAGAGAGAGCTGGTGTCGCTTTAAAAGAGAGAGCGAGAGAATGGGAGAGAAAAATCCAACCCAGCCCCTCCGCTGGAGCGTCAGCCGACACGATCCACCACGGTTGAGTCTCTTCTGCAGTCTCCACTTTCTTTTATTTTCCTCCCTTCTCATCTGCTCCGGATTCCTTCACACAGTTGCAAGTTCTCCTGGCGCGCCCCGACCCCCGCCCCTGTCCACCCGCGCTGCGGGCTAAGAGGGAGGAGCAGCCCCGAAGGCTCCACGGCGGCGGCGGCCTCCGGGCGGCTCGCGAAGTCCGGCCGGCGGCAGGCAGCCAACTCCTCTCAACTTGTGCGGGCCGCCGGGCGAAGCCGCTCGCTCCCTGCGCGCCGCTCCTCGGGCTGAGCCGGGCGAGTGGGGGCGGGGGCGGAGGCTGGGCTCGGCGGGCGGCGGCTGGGCGCAGACCGCGGCCCCCGGCGCCCCCGGGCCCGCCCCTCCCCCGCCGCCTAGGGCCCCTCGCCCGCCCCCACCCCCGGCGCTACGCACAACCCGCGTGGGGGCAAGTGCTGAGCGGACGCTGCCGGCCGCGTGGAGGCTCGGAGGAAGCAGGTGCCCAGGCGAGGCTCTTGCAGATTTAGATCCAGTCCGCGTCCTCCCACCTAGGGCAAGCTCTGGGCAAGACTGGGCCACCGTTACCTCGCTCTCACCCCACCCTTCCCGCCCCAACTCTCCTGCTCCTCGCCAATGCCTGGATCCTTCCTGGGAGAATTATGGTTTCGGGAACCAAGGGGTAGGTGTCTGGATGGGGGAGGGCCCTTAACTCCTTCAACTCTAGGGTTAAGGATGGTATCATTATTGCTCCTTTTCTCCCACTGTCCCTGTCCAAGGCTCTTGGGACTCCAAACCCCTCTCCCCTCTAGGGCTGAGAGGGAGGGACAAAAGCGGCAACCAGAGGTGGCTTGGGAAAGAGGGTGGGAGAAAGTCAAATGGATGAGACTGAAGCTGTACTCCCCCTAGCCCAGTCTCCCCCCAGCCCCCTGCCCACACATTTCTCTCTCCTCACCCCTCCCCCACCATCGCCAGATTTCAAAGTCCCTTTTATGGGAGAAAGGGAGGATGTCACATACCCATTAAGATTCTCTTGATCCTTTTTTAAGGGAGTTTGGGCGGCAGCAGGGGGTGTGAATTTTTATACAATGCATTCCTGTCTTCACTTCCAAAGCTGCTTTTTCTCTGTCTTACTGGCCATCTGTCAGGCGGTGGGAGACAGAACAAAGGGGGACCCCACTCTGCCTCCCCTGTTGCAACAGGACCCTCAGGCTCACTCCTTAAAACAGCTGCACTTTCAAAGCTCTCAGACTTCGAGTCAAGGACAGGGACCTATAAGATGCTCCTTGAGCATCTGGCTCTATTCACTTCATTTCTGCACCTATTTGGGGAGATCAGTACAAATGCCCTCTTTGCCTTTATCATCACCTTTGACAGCCAGGAAGTGTGATCCTGACTGTCCTCAACTAACCCCAGAGTCCATTGAAGAAAAGGGCCAGAATTGTGCTCAGTACTAAAGATAGGTCTGTCACTCGGTCCCCAGGCAAAGAGAGGGTACACTGCACTAAGTCGAGGTGGGAAGTGAGGGATAGGGAGAGAAGAGGAGAGGATGAAATAAAGATGTAGCAAGAAGCTTCAAGGATGACTTTTACCCTCTTGAAGCCCCTTTTCTCTAAGCATCTTCTCAGAGACAAAAGACTCTGAGAGACATCTGACCCCCACCAAAAGGGTCGCAGTATCTGTACAAAGAAAATCAGAAAAGAAAGAATCCTCACAGCTCTTTGGTTCAATACTCTCATTTTACAGACAAGGACCCCAAAATCAGAGAGAGGAGGTCGTTTGTTGGTGGCCCTACAGCAAGCTGAGACCCAGCTCCCCAGCCTCCTGACTTTCAGCCCAGCACTCTGCCCACACCCCACGCTGCTGCGCGTGCAGCCACTCAGTGACTAACCAGGGAGGAGGGGGCTGCAACGAGCTCCCACCGAAATAGGCTGCTGCCTGTGCGTGATTATGTTGCTATGAGAACCTCAGTGGGTGTGTTTCCTCCGTTCGCTGTCGAAATCTTTTGCTTGGCTTGGCTTCTCCCCAAGCATAGACACGGCTCCCCTTGGAATGGGGAGTGGAGAGGCTGAGATAGGGAACTACGTTTTCACAGCAACAGTTTTCTAGCCCAGCCCACCCTACCAGAGCCTGCCTGGGGCTGTGAGTAAGGAGCCCAGGCCACCAGGGTGGTTCCATAAAGGCTGGGAGGAGAAGAGTGAACCATCTCGACAGTGGCTACTTCATCCCCCTTTTGAGCCATCTTGGAACAGAGACATGCTGTCCCTACTATGCAACCACCTAACTACAAATTCACAAACAAAATAACTGTTACTTTAAGAGACAAGTGTGAAGTGATTTGTTTTACAACAAGGGATCACCTGAATACCCACCTCCTGACTGTGAAAATTCAGGATGCATGGAGAGTGCCTAGTGCATAGTGGGTGCTGTGCAATCATTTTCTCACATCCCGTCATTCACGTGAACTCAGTCTGTCTCCATCTCTGTTGCTAAATGTATTAGTATAGTCTCTTACTGGGTTAATTATTTTAGTCATTCTGCAAAGAACTTAACTGGGCATAGCTCATTAATAGGCATTAGGTTTGACAAGATAAGCAATAAGATAGTAGACTGACTATTGTTGAATTCTTAATTTAGTCACCTCGGATGCTTTGGCATGTACAGAACTTTTGTAGAGCTTTTAAAGAAATTTTGATGGGAGGTGAGAAGATACATGGGATGATAAGGGGTGCAGAGAGTTCACCAGGGTGTGAATTAAATGGGTAATTTGAAACAGTAGCTCCTACCAGATAAAGAAATCCTGAAGACACATTTTATTTATGTCATTTTTCTTACATTAGATCTTCAATGCCACAATATATGTCAACTAGCACATGTCAACTGCCTAGAATGCTGCCTGTCTGATGGTAAGGGCACAAATACTATGTCAACATTTGCCAGGCCCTGTCGTACGCACACGAGTTAAACCTACTACATGCCAGAGACTCTTCTAGGCTTACATATGTTTTCATGCAGTTCTTTCAACAAACCTTTGATGTTATTATCTGTTATATGATGTTATTATTACTGTTGTTTTATTACTGATGTTATTATTACTGTTATTATCCCCACAAAACAGATGAGAAAATAAAAATACTGAGGATTGCCCAAACGGTAGAGTCAGGATTCAAATAATGTCTGAGTCATGGCATAACTCTCAAGACCAGGTTTAGGGAGCGAGACAGTGGTTCTTTGACCTTGGCTACACAATGGGAGCCTAGGTCCCTTTGACCTTGGCTGCATCTAGGGAGCTTAAAAAATACCAGTGCTTTGGTTCCACTCCCAGACATATGATTCAGTGAGGTCTGGGATCAGGATTTTTTTAAGTCCCTAATTCTAAGGACAGTCATAGTTAAAGACAGCAGGATAAGGATATTTGGAAATAAAAAGATCTGCAGAAGCCGGGCGTGGTGGCTCACGCCTGTAATCCCAGCTCTCTGGGAGGCCGAGGCGGGCGGATTGCTCAAGGTCAGGAGTTCAAAAACCAGCTGAGCAAAGAGCAGACCCCCGTCTTCTATATAAATAGAAAGGAATTAATTGGCCAACTGATATGTATATAAAAATTAGCGGCATTGGTGCGCATGCCTTGTACCCAGCTACTCGGCGGGCTGAGGCAGAAGAAAGTCGCTCGAGGCCCAGGAGTTTTGAGGTTGCTGTGAGCTGCCTGACGCCACGGCACTCACTCTAGCCTGGACAACAAAGCGAGACTCTGTCTCAAAAAAAAAAATAAATAAATAAAAAAATAAAAAAGATCTGCAGAAGACCCCTAAGTTATAGAAAGGGCCCTCCAAAACTATAGGCCCCCGCTACCCGTAGAAAGGTCCATCACTAGCACAGAGGTTCTTGGGAGCCATGGAGTAGGGTGAAGCTGTGTTGATGGTTGAGCTAGCACACAACAGTTGGAATGCGACACTTGGGGAGGTCTACAATTGGAAATGTTACCCAGCTTTATGAGACACCACAGAAGTGAGTTTTCTATCACTGGAAGGGTTCAGTTAGACTACGTATTTGGCATAAATGTTGTAGAGGAGCTGCAAACAGTAGAAAGGTGAGCAAGGCCTCTAAAGCTCCACCTGCTTCATGCTGGGACCCCATAATTCTCTCTCCTTTCCTCTCTGAGCCCATGCTGGAACCCCAGAAGGTGAAGACTATGACATCTCCAGAGGCCAATCAACACTTCCTTTGCTGCTTGCCAAAATGCGGTGCCTCTGGAATCAGTATGCAGCTTCTCTCACGTGCAGACTGGGAAAGCCCTGGCTCTGGCTGGTTCCAGTATAGTTGCTGCAATAAGGGGAGATGTGTAAGATGTGTCGTGTGGTTTTTTCATCCTCCCAGGTGACCTCACACATGGCCGGGGTTCACATATGACCCTGGCATACTGCAGTGAATCCATGGCTCCGCAAGGATCAGGGTACAGCCATGATCCATCACCACCTCATGGCACCTAATCCAGCAGTGTTCCCAGCATCTTCTGGACCAGATGGGAGCCAAGCCAAGGCTGCAGCAGCCAGCTATCTGGCTGAGCCTCCAGGCAGCCCCACACCTGGACAGTTCTCCTACACAAAAGCTTCTGCAGTCCTGCTCCTCCCCAACCCAAGGCTCAGTACTTCTTAAACTGCATTCTAAAGAACAACTTACAGGAGTGCCATCAGTCCCTACAAGGCAAATTGAGGGTTTTTGTTTTGTTTTGTTTTGTTTTGTAAGTAAAACCAAAATGTTTTCCTCTGATATGTCTGAGTAAATGAATTCATTGAGGTTTTGTGCTGGATATGATGTTATTTGGTTTGTTTATTCTAACAATATTTGGGAGGCATTTCTTTAGTAGTTCTGCATTGATAGCTTAATCCTTGGTGGTTTATTCTCCTAGAAAATTGAATAATATTGTTACCTATCTTTCTCTAAGAATGAGATTGACCCAAAAGACATACAGACATTTTCTTAATGGCCTATGATGGAACCCAGACTTCTTTGGAGAAGAGGGAAGATGGATTCAGTAGCAGATCCCTAAGGCTACTATTATAAAATATTCTAAAATGCTGCCACAACACAATTAGCTTTTTCTACTTTGTGGAGGTTGTACATTCCATTTCTTTCCTCATTTTCAAAGTTTTCATAAAGGCTTAACTTTTCATGGAAAATCTCTCCTGAATCCCCCCCCCAAGCCAGCTGGAAACCATTCAGTCTATCCAGCATAATAGCTCGATACATTTTGTGTTCTATAAACTCTTATATAGCAATGGCCATGGGCCAAGCATGTGCTAGACATTCTGGACTAAAAGATGAAAAGACAGATCCCTGCCCTGATCATACTTGTTTTCCAGGAAGAGTTGGTTAAAAGACTAACTCTAATATAATAAGTGCTATAGTACATTCAGGTACTATCAGGAGTCTTATGGATTCATTCTAAAAGGTTAAATGTAGCTATAATCAATGACTCATAGTCAAGTAGGCCCTGTAGGAAGGATCTATTTGATATGGACAGGGAGACATTGAAGGCTTCAAGGCCTAGACCAGAAGTACAGTAGCTTCCAAATACGAGTTGGGACACATTCTTTGTCAAGATATCAAAGTTCTTATGTGCCTCTGAAACTTTTGCAGCCTTGACTCTCCACATGCCCTATGTACTGCTATCACTTGGAGCATAACACACTGTGATCTGCCCTAGCACGGGGCTGGTCTCTCGTGCTTCAGAGGCAGCCCCACCTGAATATGGCAGTGAATGGAGGTGTTCAAACGAAGTTGTGATTGAGTCTATCTGATTCCTTTCTAGACAATCACTCTGATCTCTTTCTTCTCTTCCCAGAGGATTTTTTTAATTTAAACTTTGTTAGATTTTTTTTAATTTAAATTTCACTTCTCTAAGGTAATATTAACATTTTGCTGTATACTGCTCTATATTTTGCTCATGTAAATATATATAAGACATAAGTTATGTATAGAAGTGTTTGCTGTTGGTATATGTAGTATCTAAATAGAATCATGTTATATACATTACTCAGAAACTTGCTTTCGCCATTGACTAGTGTATGACAGGCTTCTCTCCAGGTTATTACATGTAGAGTCATGTTGTTTTTAAGAGCTGTGTAACATCCCATTGTGTGGACAAACCTCACTTTTTAAATAACTCATCTATTGATGCACTTTCAAGTTGCTCCCAGTTTCCTGTCATTCTAAACAATATTATAATAAACTACTACAAAATAATACAATAAAATTCTATAATAAACTTTTTTCCATGTATCCTTATGAACAAGAGCTTTTATTTCCATATGATAATTTCCCAAAAGATGTATTATTTTAACATATATTTCCAATTCCTTACCAAATTGTGATTTGATACAATCACAATTATATTGTGATTAGAACAGTAGCCTAAAAACTTGGAAGGCAAAATTCCCACCTTCCTTCCCTTTCTTAGGCAACATCAATTCAAAAACACCTGCTGAATTCAAAGCCCCAAATTAGGCACTTAAGTAGTAAGATCCATGAAATAAAAAACACAATTTTGTTTTAAAGGTGTTTCTACACCAAGAGCTTTCCAATGCCCGGGAAAAGGTTCATGAAAGATGCTGAGACATGGGCATTTTCCCTAGAGGTCTTTATAGAAACCAGATCACTTCCAAGTGCTGAGGAGCAGGGCATCAATTTGATGTCACCAAAAAGTTCTGTGATCTGAAAAACAATAAAGATAAAAAAAACTTGATATCAATTACCTGTCTCTTAGGTAGAACAGCCACAGAGGATGGGGCACCCTCAGGTCCCTTTTCTTCTGGAAGGCTCTGCCTGAAGGAGGGCCTGGTAATAGGAGCATGCCACCACCGCTTGTATCCAGTGCCTAAAAGAAAGCCCACTGCTTTGGAAACCACACTCTCTACTTCTCAGAAGAGTCTTGTTCGACTCAATTTTAAAACAATATTCTCTGTATTCAGAGTTTCCCATAAGATATGACCCACTCGTCATCCCTCAACTCAAGGAAACCTTGCCATTTAAAACCTCCCAACTAAGTTTATGAGTGTGTGTTTTAAAGTGTGAGGGAGGCCAAACGAGGAAGACAATGAGAGGAAAGAGACATTTAACAGAGCCTGGGAGAAAGAAGTTTGCAGTCTTACAGTTAACCTCTCCATCTATGCACAAACGACTTATCGGTGATCACTGCCTGCCAGAGGGGTTATGAGGATAAAAATGAGCCAATGTAGATGAAACACCTGCACAGCTCCTAGGAGATAGGGTTCTAGCACTGGTGAGTTTCCTTCCCAGCATCTCTTCACAGAAGACCAGACATACCCCCATGAGATAATGACATAGGGTTACGTGGAGAAAGAGGGCCCCAGCATGGGTTACCACACCTGTGCACTAGTCCCAGATCTGTCAGTCAATAGCTGGGTGGCCTTGGGAAAGTCCCTTTACCTCTCTGGGCCCATTTCCTTCTCTTTAGAAGAAGACATCTGCCCGAGACAAGCCACATCCCTTTTCTGCTTTGCCTTTGCACGCATGGCGTGGGCTAGGATTCTAACCACATCAAATGACAATGAGGGCTAGTCATATGCATCTCAAACCCAAACTCAACTCCGATGGCCAAAACAAAGGCTGAAGAGTAGAATACCCTCTTCCTTTCCACTTGTAAAAGTGATTTCAAGGAAACAATACATAAAATTCTGCAATTCTAAGAACTGTAGGGCAGAGGCTGACAAAGGAGGCCTGTGGGTGACATTAATTACTGTGTTCATTCCAGCACTGGGCTATGGTTTGGGCTTTCCTGTGGTCAAAGGGAGTTCCATTTTCTTTAAGAGTCCTGTTTGATTCCAACAGCCTCAAAGACAGTGACCAAGCAGCCATTATAAATAGTCATTGCTTGGCAGGGGGCAGAGCTTGATGGAGAACCAGTGAATTTCTTGACAATACTGGCTGAAAGTCACCAGAAGCCCATCAGCTCTCAACGATCCTCTTCAACACACAAATAATGCAAATCAGTAGATTATCAAAATAAATAAGTAAATAAACACTCTTTGACTCATTTTATGTATCTAGATACATGCAAATAGAATTTCTACCTGTCTAATGATTCTTGACTTCAAAACATATTTGAATTAATGCGCTTCCCTGAGGTCCCCAGTGCTGGCCACGGAGGATGATCCTGGAAGCCCCAGCTGGGTTGCTGGAGGAGCCAGGCAGAGTCATCATGTCACTAGGCTCAGTCCACTCTGTGACTACTTCACCTGTAGGGAAACAAAAATCAGTCATTATCCTAGCATAGCTCTCAACCCAAAGTCTAAATAAAGTGGGGTTAGGGATTGTTCAAGTTATTTCATAAGAAAAAACTATGTAATAGTTAGGTGACATTTTAAAATCACACAGCAAGAGAAGAGTGGTTTCCATTTTTCTTGGACCATTTAATTCAAATCCAGTGGTGGCTTCCAGAAGGAAGGGCTTCCTCCTACTGGGTTGGAGATGCTACTGGCAGACCTCAGAGCTGTCTCCCATGGCCGTGGTTCTTCCCTGCTAGAGCCTCGCAGAAGGGAGAGGGAGCCTGGTGTCGTCAGAGTAGCGACTATGGGCCAGGCACGGTGCTTAGCGTGCTCCACGGGTTACCCGTTCAATCCTCACCCCAGCTCCAGAAATTGGTTGTATTGTGGTCCCCACTTCATAGCAGGAAAGGATGGCTCAGAAATGTGACAGAACTTGCCCAGGTCACACACTGAGCAGGGGATTGAACCCTGCTTGAACTCATGTCTTCCTGACTCCACCAATGGAAAGACACAGACTTTAGACTTAGAGCCACGCAGACCTGGTTTTAAATCCAGAGTCTGACATTTAACTAACTCTGTGACCTGGGGCACATCATTTAACCTCTCTGAGCTCCAAAATTTCCATCTGAAAGAGAGGTGGCTCTGGTAAAACCTACTCTTGTAGGCTGTTGTAAAGGGCCTAACCCAGAACCATGCTCATCACAGGCCTCTATAAATGGGAGCGATGACATATGGCACATGGCTGGATGTGACGAACCTACCTCAGCAAACTGCATCTGCTGATAGACTCTCCAGCTCAGGGACAAGTCTAACAAGCACACCCGCCAGAGGCCAGAGTGCATCTGTCAGTCTGGCAATGGCTCTAGACAGCGCAACTCCACCTAAATGACACCTATCAACCTGTGTTCTTGCTGTAGCTCTTTCTGTCACATCCGCTTACTAACTTCTCTGAGTGGTGTCACTCTGGGTTGCATATTTGTAGGTAGGAAGACATTGCTTTTTTTTACCTTCTGGAAAATTCAGCTTATACAGTACCTAAATCTGCCATGCAACTATGCAGGGACTTAGTGAATGCATCCTGAGCAAATGTAGGATTAATCACAGGAAGGAGGGAAAGATTCAGCACATTTGCGAGTGGATGGTGGAGGAGACTGGCATCAGAACAACTTGGTAAATATGGTCTCCTTCTTTTCTTTCTTTTTGCTTCTTCTTTCTTTAAACCAATCTATTGCCATCCCCCACAGTATCGGGTATGCTACACTGAGATTAATTTAAAATGAACATCTAGGCCTTTTCCTCCTGGCCCATAAGGCAGGCCCTGAAAGGTTCAAGTCATGGTTTCTGGCTGAACAACTCTGAGAAAACCTTGCCCTCGTCCTTCTGCCTCATTTCATCTCAGACTAGTTAAGACAAAGATCAGGCTTCTCCCTTCCTCCCTGATTGGAGAATGGAGTCCCCAAAACTATTCTCGTTGCCGCCCTGTCCCAGGCACAGTGTGCAGCAGGCCCTCTGGCCTGTACAAGTGCAGCCTGAACGCGGGTGGGCAAGAGGGAGAGAGACTGGGCCAACGAGCTGCTAGGCCATTCGTCCATCGGCATCTCAGGCAGGGGTTCTAACGACCGAAGAGGAGCTCAGGTTTCACCAGGCCACTGCAGCTTGTGTCTCACTATGCAATAATTGTTCCAAGTTCCTCTTCTTGACCTCTTTTGCGACAGAGAATCCTCTAGCACCATCGCCCAGTAAAGGCCCTCCTCCCAAGGGTATCCAGGAGACCCTACAGGATCACACAGCATGTACTCACCTTTAGTCATCTCATGCTTCATCTTTGGCTCCACTTAGTCACTGTCCTGTAACCTGGAGGTTATTTGCAGGAGCCTTGCTCTTGCCCATGTTGACAATGTCCCTCATGAGATGGCCACGGGCTGTGCCAGGGCTGCTGTCTCCCAGCACTCGCAGAGCTGGATGTTGTGCAGAAGTCTGGGAAAACCAGACGTGCCCCCAGGCCCCACTCCTTGTGTTCAGAGTCTCATGCAGTCTCTTGGAGAAATGCCCTTGCAGTGTCTGTCCCTAACTCTTCTATGCCCCTGCAAGGGCACAAAGCCCAGTGTCAGGATAGAATGCAGATGATACACCATTGCCTCTGTTGTCTGGGTCTCTCCCCCTGTCTTCCACTCACAGAATAGTAAAATGAACTTCTCCCTTCTTCAGCAGTAGAGAAACGTGCCCATACAGGTCAACTCCTGCACATGAAGCCTAGGGGGAGAAGAGCGGGCACCTGTCCCACAGAAAGCCCTGGGCTGGCGGTTCTCTGATGGCACGTGGGTGTGGGCAGCCCTGTCTTTCGCTCTGGGTTTGCAAACACTTGCTCATGCCTTGCGAAGGGAATGTCCCTCTGGTGCAGCTGGGGCACGTTCTGTCTTGTCTATTCAGCCGTCAGGTAATAGCCTACCATCTGCACACCAGCGCCGCCACTGTGGCTGTCAGTGCTCTTGGAGAAGCAGCCCTTCCAGTTTGTCAGCTGTCAACTGTTGGTGGCCCTCCCAGAGGTATTTGCATCCAAGGAGACTTGGGAAGCCTGCCTAACCCCCAAAGCACAAAAGAATGAATCTCTAATGGTGGAAGGTCGAGCATCCGTCGCTGGCTGGCGGCAGCATGATTTCAAAGTTCTCCTGGCACCCTGTAATGTCACGCCACACTGGTATTAATTCTGCCTGCCACCGAGTTGTGCCCGGCTCACGCCCTTCAGAGGGAGCATGGAGCTCTAAAGGTGGAAAGCACGGGCCTTGAGCTACTGATGGCGCCAGACCAAGGGGGTCAAGACAGAGACCCCTGGAAATGGGGGCAGACAGCAGTTAGGGTCTGTTTCTGCCCTTAAAGTCCTTTGTGTTCCTGTTTTTCATTTCTTTCTCAGTGACAGGAGGAGTTTGGACAAGCTGAATTTGTGGGTCATTTTCAGCTCTTCCATTCTATCATTGTAAATCCTGTGACTGGCAGTCAGAGCCGAGACGCTGTCCCTAGCTCTCTGAACAGGAGAGCGGGGAGAAGGAAAAAGTGCTGGAAAAGCTTGTGCTCCAAAGGCTTAGGCACTTGGGGCTCAAGAATCACCCACCCTACTTATCTTCAAAGTTCATTTTCTTAAAAAAAGCTTTAAATGCCACCTCCTCCCTTTGGGGAGCTTAAATGCTCATGGTCTTCTGGTAGAAATTATCCATTTTAAAATATTGCGTTCAAGCCAGGCTTGCAGAGAAGGGATTTCTAGCTGGGACATTTTGGAGAAATATGCCCACTAGGGTCCATCCGTTACCCGTGCCCTGCGGACGTGCGGCTGAGACGCGGCTGTGGGCTGCTGCTTCCGAGTGTCTTTTCAAAGCCGCCTACACAGCGGCCTGTCCTCTCCCGCCCTCCCTTCACAGGCGCCCCCTCGTCCCCTCTACCATAGTTCCCCCTAACTCTGCTCACATGCTTTCCAACTGGCATGTACCGCCTGAAGCACGAAGGAAAAATCTGAGGGTTGAACCCAGCAGCAGCATGTAACACAAATCTCTCTACAGCTACAGATGGAGCAAGGCCACGGGCACTCAGTGGGCTCCAGGGCGTGCGGAGAGTTCTCAGGCTGGTCCTGTCCAAGTCCTAGTGGGTCTGCAGGGCAGCAGCTTAACTGTTCTTGGCCAACAGCGAGAAAAGCAGGAAAGCCTTCCCAAGAGCTGCTAAGGTAGCTGCTTCTTTGGGAATTACTTTTTTTAAAAAACTGAGAAGACGGTTATCTGAGAACACGAGTTTAAATTCCATCCTCCCTAGAGCCAGGAGACAGGACGTGATGGCTCTTTCTAGATCACACAATCTATGATTATCATAAAGCCAAGATCACGGGCCCTTCTGACAATCGACCCAGCATGGTGCCCAGTCTCCCTCCCATCTGGGGAGTCAGGGACAAGACCCGCTAGGTGGAGGAGGACCAGGCCTGGCTAAGAACTGGGCAAGCCACCAGGGAAGCACAAACTTGTGCTGGGAACATTAGCCCCCCTTGTTTTCCCAAACACAATTAGGCAGGGGACAGAAATTTGAGGGGAAAAAATTACTTTAATAACATATGAATTTTTAAAGAGCTTCCAAACCCTCCTCTGTGGAGAGGCCTGCCTGGGATCAGGCCACTTCCCAGCCAGACTCCGGTGGCTAAGGAGGCAGCCCCATCAGCCTCCTCCCGCGCTTGCTCAGGAGGTCACTAACGCCGCCCTTTGCGGGCTCACTGCGAGACCTCTAGGACCTGCAGTCTCCTACGACAGCTTCCATTTTCCTCTTTCCCAAGGCTGTCAGGGCCTCTTCCTGCCTGGCCTTCCTGCTCCATCCAGCTGGGCTGGCATTATCCCAAGAGGTCAGGCCACTGGGTAGGGCTCCCAGAAGTCCAGGCCAGGCCTCCGTGACCAGCTGGGCAAACGCTTATTGTTCTGAGCAAACAAAGTCTACCATCGCACCGCTTCCAAGTAGAAAAAGTCACAGAGGTGCGTTTACTGCCATCTAGAACATCAGTGTGGGGAGAGGGATACTTGCCCCGACCTTCCTTCTTCTGAACACTCATGGGATGGATTTGAGAATTTAAGGGCCAGTGAACATGTAGTAGGATGGTGGCTCCCCCAGCTAGGTAGCCATACTTCTGTTTATTTTTTGTTTTGTTTTATTTTTAGTTTTTGTTTTTCATTTCAGAATATTACAGGGGTACAAATGTTTTGGTCACATAAATTGCTTTTGCACCACCCAAGTCAGAGCTACAAGCACACCCATTCTGCAGACAGTGTGTAATACAGCTATTAGGTGAATTTACCATCCCCTTCTCCCCCCTCCCACCTGCTGGACAGCCTATGAACGTTACTTCCATGGTGAGTACATGGGTGCTTGTTTTTCCATTCTTGTGATATTTCACTTACTAGAAAGGGCTCCACCTCTATCCAGGATAACACAAGAGATAGTCCACTATTTTTTTTTATGGCTGAGTAGTACTTCGTGATATACATATACCACATTTTATTAATCCATTCGTGTATTGATGGGCTCTTGGGTTGTTTCCACATTTTTGCAATTGTGAATTATGCTGCTATAAACATTTGTGAGCAGGTGTCTTTTTCATAGAATGTCTTTTTTTCCTTTGGGTAAATACCCAGTAGTGGGATTGCTGGATCCAATGGTAGTTCTACTGTGAGTTCTTTGAGGTATCTCCCTCCATATTAATTTCCATAGAGGTTGTCCTAGTTTGCAGTCCCACCAGCAGCGTAGGAGTGTTGTTTGATTTTTCTTGCTGATTTGCCTGAGTTCTTTACAGATTCTAGTTATCAGCCCTTTATCAGATGTGTAGCATGCAAATATTTTCTCCCATTCTGTAGGTTGTCCATCCGCTCTAATGATTGTTTCAGTTGACAGAGGGAAAAGCCAGGGCTCAGAGCCAACATGCCATGCCATTCCACACTTTGATACGATGAAAACACAGGGACAGCTCGAGACTGAGAGACCTTCTGTGTGAGCGCTTGCTTCTCTCTAGCCATTTGTTCTGGGGAGACGACACATCAGGGCACTGCTCCTCAGCCAAGAGCAAACCAGTCAAGAGACACTGCCCAGCTCTTTGCAGGGCAGAAGAGTGTGCAGTGAGGAATGATAGGTTTTTGACTCTCACTTCTTTTGTTTTCTTTTGCTTTTTTATGGCCTCAGTAATTTTCTTAGTGGGAGCCCGTGGATGGCAAACTTTCTGAATCTATGATGTCCAAGCTGGCTGTTTCTCACCTACACATTTGAGCAGCAGTTTCACCGCGTGCAGTTCCGTGTTCAGTGACTGCCCACCACCAGCGTTTTGAGCATACAGCTCCACTGCCTTTTGCCTCTCGTATTGTCATTGAGAGGTCTTTTGTCACTTTGGTCTTGCTCCTTTTTAGATAATCCTTTTTCCCTCTTTCTGTATGGAAGTTTTGTTTGTTTTATAGTTTTCTTCTGTCTTCAGTATCCTGATGTGTCTGGTTATGTCTTTTCTCATTCATCTTACTTGGCACTTGGTCGTCCTATTTAATCTTGGATTTTGTTTTGTGTTGTTTCTTTTCTAGTTTCTATCAAATTTCCTTGCATTATTTCGTTCTGTTTTCTTCCCTCCATGCCACCCATTCTATCCTCTGAAACTTCTTGCAGATGGAGGCTGGAAGATCAGAATATGTTCTCCATATCTCAACTTTTCTTTCCATGTTTTCATCTCATGATCCTTTCAGACTGCATCTTTAAGAGAACTCCTCAGCGTGGCCTCCCATTTCACCAATTTACTCTTCAAATATGTCCACTCTGCCAGCCTAGCCCATCTGTTGGTTTTTAAATTTTGTTGCAAATGATTTAGTTCCCAAGGCCTCTGGCAGATTCTTTATGGATCCAATAGCAATACTTATTTTAAAGTCCTATTCTGCTTATACTACTAACATTTCCTTCAGTATGAACGTTTGTTTACAGAAATCAGCACCTCTTTTGTACATTATTGGTTTTCCACACAGTCTTGGTGAGTCCTAGATGCATGCTCATTTTTGTGTTGGAAAATCCCTGTTAACCTGGCAACAGGAGGAAAGAGTCGGATGTACTATGGGCAGGTTTGACTTCAGCCTGTCTAAGGTAAGCAAAGGAAGGTGACTGCAGTTGGTAGAGTGACCAGTAGGGAGTGTAGAGTGGAGATCTTTCTCTTGGGTCCTGTTCGGCTACCTGGAGCTCTGTTCTGCCTCTCCGACCCAAGTATCCAAGCAATCTCTGTTGGCCACTGCCTGCACCCAAGGGGGTCAAATGCAGAGTTATTGAGGGATTCACCTGCCTGCCTGATCTTCCTGGTAGCCCCAACTACTTGTCCTGTTGTGTACTCTGGGTCGTCTTATGCCCCACATCCATCACTCACAAGCCTGGAACACGTTTCCCCTGGGTCCTCGTGCAAGAGCTTTTGGAGCAGTGGTTTCCTTTATCAATCTCATCTCACCTACTTTCCATCTTTCAGGGACTCCTCATAGTTTTGATGCACCAAAGACATCCTTTGTTTTCTAGCACTGTTTATGCTTTCAAAGGACATACGCTGTCATTCTTGGGGACTTTGGGTGGGAAGGTAGGCTTGCTAATGTTGCTTAATGCCTCATCTTGAGCCAAAAGACATGATATGTTCTCAATAAATAGTTGTTAGATGAAAGAATGGATTTTAATGCCTCCCGTAACTTTTACTTTAAAAGTTTTTACATTTGAAAAATAATTGTTGAGTCCTTGACTTGGTGACTGAGTGTAACACGCTGCCCACTGCCACTGTGTCAAGCGGATACACAGCTTGGCAGCAGGTGGTAGGATTAGGCCCCAGGTGGGCAGCTTTCACCCAACCCTCCTTGTTATCTGGATTCCCAAGGACTGACAAGGCGGAGAAAGACCCTAATACTTTTCATTAATAACAGATGCCCACAAGAGCTAACACTCACTAGTAGCCCAAATTCAACCCTGAAGTATTAGGACAATTCAGATTCTAGGGAATAGGGTGAGCCTTTGCCACACAAGAAGGAAATGAAACCAATCTTCCCACACTGCCTTTGAAGCACATGTAGAAGCTCAATGATACTGTCTCATTTTATGACATCTGAGTGAAAGCCAAGGTACAAGTTTCTATTCTGCAATTCGTCCTCGCCATGCAGGAAGCCTCACAGCCGGCAAAGGAACCAGGGCTTCCTGCAGAAGCCAGAGCGTCCCGAGCCACAGCTCCGAGGAACAACTCCCTGCATGGGCTGGCAGGGCAGGTGACATGGCATCACGCATAGCCACGTGAGGAATTAAACAAACACACACAGATAGATAGCTAAGGCTCCATCTGATTCCCCTGGAGAGCTCAGTAATGATGTGGCCACTTCCTCTCAACCCACTCAGGCCCTCCCTGTCTTGTCCTCAAGGCCCAGTTAAGTTTTATTTTCATAAAACCTTTCCTGGGGCCTCCCAGCTCAGGGGGAATCTTTCTCTGCCTTCCACTCTGGCAGCATTATAGATGGTGCCACTCACTTTGACACCTCATCTTATAGAGTACCACCCTCCCTTGGCCACAGTCCCCATCCAACTACTGTGATTATGCAGGAGACAGCTTGAGCGAAAGGAAGGAAAACACTCTCAGGAAGTTAAGGAGAAAAGTTATCTCATCATCCATGCAACCCTCAAGCCCAAACCGACGCTCATTAACCTTGAGCTGGACATAAAGCTAAGCTTGCTCACTAAACGGAAGCTCTTCTCTTTGGCGTCCAAGTCAACCTCCGCTTCTTCACGGTTACGGGCAGCCAGGGCGCCGCGGCAGCCAGAACGCGGCCCGGTGAGAAGTGACGGCCAGTGGCTGGACTGAGAGAAGCAGCCACAGCACAAAGGGCTGGGGAGCACTCAAGGAAGGGCGAGTTAGGCCTGAGCCATCAAAAAGAGAGAAAACTGTGTTCTGTGAATTCTGTTTCCCAAGGCAGAATAGAGTATCTTTTTAAAGATCTCTGTCAGCAGTGTTCAAAAAAATGTTTCGGAACGTAAAAGCCACAAGAGCGTCTGCTGTAGGAAAGTCCGGGCACATGGTGCACCCCGCATCCAAGCCAAGGTGAACTAAGAAAGCTCAAACCACTTCCTGCCGTCCTGCGCAGGTGGCTAGCCATTCCATGGCCATGCCTCTCGGTTTCTCAGCTGTGAGCACCAGAGGACAGGGCCATGCCTGTATTTCCTTTCTCTCTCAATGCCCAGCCCAGAGCTGGGCACAGAAGGTACTTCTATTAAGACATCCTGGTTAAATGAATGAATGAATGAATGAATGGACACATCTCAGTTCTGATTCTTTCCTCCAACTTCTAGGGCCACGCCTTTTATTATTCTAGAGAAAGATTAGGAAATGGATTTCAAAAATAGTGTCTGAACTAGGGCACCTTGTCACTAAAGCACAGTTTAGGAGCATCAGCTGGGCTGCAGCCCCACAGTCCTCACTGCCCCCACCCTGCCAGCCCTCCTCACTTCCCACATGACAATAAGGGAAGCCAGGTCTCACCCATGGCCGGCCATGCTCCAGGCAGACCCTAAAAACACAAGTCCCTGGACAACACACTGCAGGATACTGATGCTCTTTAAAACGCTGCCTGATTTTCTCCAGGGCTGAGGGGCCCTGATTCCTCCACCTTCCACCAGGTGGGCGGCCTCACCGGGAGTGCCAGTTTAGCTCACAGCCCTGCTGCAAGCGTGGATGAAACCTTCCGAGGCCACAAACATAGCTGCAGACCCTTGTCGGGCGGAAAGGGGAAAGAACACAGGAGCTGCTGTCAGCACTGCTGGGGAAGGCGCCCCTCAGCTGGCCGTGCACATTGCCCAGCCATGGAGGACTCTGCCTGAGAAGGCTTTCTTACAAGCAGTCAACCGGTCTGCCTTGTCTCGTGACCTTTCTGCACAGCAATGAGCAAAACCCCCGCTCCAAGAGAGAGGCGGGAGATGGAGAGAGAACATATGTGCTGCTGAGCCAGGGATGGGCTCTTGTTGAAAGGCCTAGAGCACCTGTGGATCTTCCGTACAGGTGCGGACCAGCTCACAGGCCTTCCCTAGTTCACTGTTTATGTGCCTGCCAATAACCGAACCTAATTCAAGCAGAGACTCAGACTCCTTGAACAAAATGGTCTGCCCAAGACCAGCTGACTCTGGCCTCCAAGCACCCACAAGCCCACATGCCTGGCGCCCCAGAGATGCGAGCTTGTCCTTTCTTAAAGACCTCCAGGGGGAGAGGCTACAGCCTCCCATATTGCCAGACATGTCCTGACTCCTAGCAAGAAGTGCTGGCGTGTGTCCAGCCTAAACCACTTCCACTTGGAGCTAAAGCTCCCTCCAAATTGTTCAGTTCCCACTAAAGCTAGAAAACGCCTGGGTCTCTGCTCTGGAAACTCACAGCGCTGGGAGGAAGGAAGATGGGATTTTT